GGCAAACTCTCTATTACACGGGCCTCAGTAAAACACACATGTTCACCTAATTAAACACGTTTAGTGCAAATATGACCAAAACTCTCCTGAAATTCGGTGTTCTTGTGTTTGTTTCAGAGCGGCGACTCGGCGAGCAACAAGAGAGCCGTGTGTGTCATGGCCGTCCTGCTGTTCATGACCTTCAGCTTCGGACCCGTCAGGTAAACATCTCACAGCTTCTCAGGGGCTTAGTTTTGTTCTTCATTGTAACTGTTTTTGAAATTCTTGGATTTCAGGGAAATGATTTATTTTTAAAAGCAAGGTGCTCTAACCTCTGAAATGTGAATAGTTTCATTTAACTTCTTCATAATAAATGAATCAACATGATGTGCTTGTTTGTCAAAAGTCATTTTAAACGTCTAGAACTAAGTTGATACGATTATATTTATGATTATTAGGGCTGAGGGATGCAATTAAAAGGATTTTGAGCTGATTTTGAAATATTTTATTTAATAAAGCAATTTTGAAAAAGCAAACTCGAAACTTTACGTTACTGATGCACAAATTCAATAAACATGGAGGATGAGCCGTGACTGAAGGAGCGGCGGCCCCCTAGTGGTGAACTAGTGAACAGAACTGGATTTGATCTGTGCAGCATCACGGACAGGAAGCTGTCGGTGGGTCTGCAGGAAGACGTGGTGCCGTTCTCTGGTCGGCGTCTGCTGGAGGTCAAACAGCAGCAGGTGTTGGATGAGCCTCTCAGCAAAGCGGAGGACAAGACGGAGGAGGATGGAGGAGACGAGCGATGGAAGAGAGAAGATGTGGAGAGATACTCTCCAGAGTCTCTCCAGTTCAGGTGAGACGGATTGCTTTACGGCATTCCTCACAAGAAATGAACATGTCTGGCACTTTGATCTTGGAACAGCTCAACAGAGCCGGCTCTTCGGCTCGAGTCGTCACTCACTTCCTGTCAGGTGGAACAAAGAGTTTCTCTGCAGGAGACTCGTTGGCTGCGTTCTGGGAATTTCAGCCTCAGCCGAGGAGAGCGTACTGAATACTTTTACTGCTATTGTTTGTTGTTGTTCTGCAGGAACCTGAGTGATCTGTTCAGCGACGTGAAGGACCTGGCTCTGCAGGGCATCGATCGTTATTTCACCTCTTCAGACTGCAGACAGTTCAACCGCTCCGAGTCGCTCAGGTCGGTTTAAAAGCAGCTCAAACGTCTCAGGCTCGACGCCTCCTCTCTGGCTCGTACCAGTCTAGAATAGAATAGACTTTATTTGTAATTGCCTGTGGCAATTACATTTCGGATGGTGCACTATCAACAGTGCACAAGACAATAAATATATTAGAAAATAGAGGACTAAAAACCATTTAAAAACATTGAGCAGAACACCAAGAAAGTGCAGTGCGAACCAGTGATTCAGGTCTGCTAAAACAACAGTTTACAAGGATTTGGACACAGATTAATCCACATTCCTGACAGGGATGTGGGGGGTTGAATGTTCTGATGGCCCAAGGGAAAAAGTTGTTGTAAAGTCTGGTGGTATGTGATTTAGCTGGCCTGTAGCGGCGCTCTGAGGGCAACAGGTCAAACAGGCAGTGGGCAGGGTGGGTGGGGTCACGGAGGATAGCAGCGGTTCTCTTCAGGCAGCGGGTTCTGGAGATGGCCTCGAGGGATGGCAGGGTGCAGCCAGTAATCCTCTGGGCGATGTTTCTCCTCTGCACAGCCTTCCTGTCCTCAGCTGTGGAGCCTGGACACCACATAGAGAGTAGGTGAAGGTGCTCTCCACGGAGCAGTGGTAGAAAGCCAGCAGCAGCAGCAGCTTCTGATCCAGGCCACACCTTCTCAAGACCCGGAGAAAGTGCAGCCGCTGCTGAGCCTTTTTAACCAGAGCTGTGGTGTTGGCAGACCAGGACAGGTCAGCAGAGATGGTGGTGCTAAGGAACCTGATGGACGGGACCCGGTCCACGCGCTCTCCACTTATGAGGAGAGGGGCGTGTGTGAGACTGTGCCTCCTGAAATCCAGGATGAGTTTTTTGTACATTTAGAGTGAGGTTGTTGTCTGAGCACCACCTTGACAGATTAGTGACCTCTGCCCGGTACGCTGCCTCGTCTCCGTCTGTGATGAGGCCGACCGCGGTGGTGTCGTCAGCAAACTTGAAGATGGCCGTGGATGGGTGGGGTGCGGTACATTCTGACGTGTACAGTAGGGGGCTCAGCACACAGCCCTGAGGAGAGCAGGATGGAGGAGGAGAGGTGGGGGCAAAGTTTGACATTCTGTGGACGATTTGTGAGAACGTCTTTTATCCAGCGGCAGGTGGAGGGAGGGATCTGAAGGCTCCGCAGTTTTGAGATAAGAATGTCCGGGATGCTGGTATTGAAGGCGGAGCTGAAATCAACAAAGAGCATCCTGACGTAGCTTCCCCTGGCCACTAGGTGGCTCAGTGTAGTGTGTAGCGTCAGGGCGATGGCGTATGGCGTGGTATGGGGGCCAAAATTCAGACTACTGCCCAGCAGCAGGAGGCTATATATATTCCGAAGCAAACTACTGATCTGATTAATGATAAGCTGGCGCCGGTAACTGAGAGGCTGGCACTGCTTACTGAGGAATAGCACCATTTCTGGTGCTATTACTAGATACGCTAGGGACTAGCAGCCCTCGGCTGGTCATTGACTGGTTCAAACACTCCCTCTGCTGTCTATTAGCATGGATAGGCTAGCGTTAGCCTGGACAGGCTGGTGTTAGCATTGGAGAGGCTAGCCATTAGCGTGCCTAGGCGGGCCACTAGCTGGATTTCCTACCTCCTCGACGGACCATTAGCATGGATAGGCTGGTGTTAGCATTGGAGAGGCTAGCCATTAGCGTGCCTAGGGTGGCCACTAGCTGGATTTACTACCCCCTTGAAGGACTTTAAGCATGGATAGGCTGGCATTAGCATCGGAGAGGCTAGCCATTAGCATGTCTCGGAGAGTCACTAGTCAGCTAGTAGCCAGCCTAGGCATGCTAATGGCTAGCCTCTCTGATGCTAACGCCAGCCTATTCATGCTAATGGTCTGTCAAGGGGGTAGGAAATCCAGCTAGTGGCCAGCCTAGGCACGCTAATGGCTAGCCTCTCCAATGCTAACACCAGTCAATCCAGGCTAACGCTAGCCTATCCATGCTAATAGACAGCAGAGGGAGTGTGTGAACCAGTCAATGACCAGCCGAGGGCTGCTGGTCCCTATTGTTTCTAGTAGTAACGCCGGTAAAGGTGCTATTCCTCAGTAAGCAGCGCCAGCCTCTCAGTTACCGGCACCAGCTTATCATTAATCAGATGAGTAGTTTGCTTCAGAATTTATATAGCCTCCTGCTGCTGGGCAGTAGTCTTAATTTTGGCCCCCATACCGCGCCATAGATGGCGTCCTCTGTTGATCTGTTTCCCCGGAAGGGGTCCAAGGAGGTGGGGACGCAGGTTTGGATGTGGTTGGAGATAAGTCGCTCAAGACACTTTGTGATTACAGGTGTGAGGGCCACCGGTCGATAATCAGTTAAGCTTTATGGAAGATTTTTTTGGGGGTGGGAATAATTTTAATAAATAAACAATAAAGTGGGTGGGCAGTGGTTTCGAAATGAGCAAAGAAGTTGTTTAGCTCCTCTGCCTGTGTTCTACTGCTGCCAGTGTTGGACGGAGTGTGTCCTCTGTAGCTGGTCAGAGTCTGGATCCACTTCCACGTCTGCTGGGGGTTGTGGGGGAAGAGGTCTTCTGTTTTCCTCCTGTAGGCTCTCTTGCCTGGCGAATGCTCCTCCTCAGACTAGTCCTGGCTGTGCGGTACAGGTTGCTGTCGCCTGACTTGAAGGCAACATCGCGGGCTCTGATTAGAGCCTGGACCTCTGATGTCATCCATGGCTTCCTGTTTGGGAAGATCCGAATCTGTTTGGTCACTGTGAACCAGAACAAGAATTGTTCCATTTAATCTTGGATCTGCTGGCTCCTCATCTGACCTCGGTGTGTTTTCAGGCTCGCTGATGAGCTGAGAGGTTGGGTTCATCGACATCAGATCGACCGGAAGAAGTCTGGAGGAAAAGCAAAGGTCGCCAAGAAGGCAAAGGTCACGCAGGTGAGAGAATCTTCATCTCTAATAATGGATCAATGTGACACTTAAAAAAAAAGTGAGATTTTTTTATACAGAATTACTGTAAGCTTCATTTAGCCATTGATGAATTCCTAGTTTAGTGATTATTAGCAATGTAATGTTAGGTTCAATCTTTTCTGTCTTTATTTGAATATTCTGAAGCAGAAAGCTCAACTGAGGAAGGCAAACATCTCCAGATATCTGCCCATCCAGTCTCATCGCTCCATCGAGAGGTAAACCACTTTTCACCAAGCTGAGGAAAATCTCCTCGTGTCCTTAAACGTTAGAGCTGGAGCTGAAGCGGCGCGTTTTAGAAGGAGTCAATTACAGGAGGCGACAGCAGAGGGGTGTCAAAGGTTTAAAATGTAACATCAGATTTGGTTCGTTCTTGTTGTGTTTGACTTCTAATTCCATTTTTGGTTCTTTTTTAAAACACAGAAAAGGTTTCTCTTTACCTTGCTGACTGTTTCATTTGTGGCTGCAAACGTCCTCAGAGCTGACGCTGATGGTGGCGTCACTTCCTACTCCGTTTATCCGCAGGCAGCAGAGGACGTTGTCGCCCTCTGCTGCCTGCTCTCCCCTCCGCGAGTTTTTCATGGAAGACCTGGAACAAAAAGCCATAGCCACCGCCCCCCAAACTACAAAATAAACCTATGGAAATGCTACGTAGACGACATACTGGAAATCATACCAAAAGGACAAAAAGAAACACTAACACAACACTTGAATAACATCGACGACACAGGCAGCATAAAGTTCACTTATGAGTCAGAAACAGAAGGCAGCATAGCTTTTATGGACATGAAAATAACCAGGCAGGCCGACGGGACCCTAAACATAAACACATACAGGAAACCAACACACACAGACCAATATCTATTATGGACATCAGAACACCCCACCATACACAAAATGTCAGTAATCAGAACATTATATCACAGAGCAAACATAATAACAGAAGAGAGAGACCGTAAACAAGAGGACAAACACATACAACATGCTTTAAAGACCTACGGATACCCGACATGGGCAATAAACAAAGGAAAACAACAAACAACAACAGAAAGAAAAGAACAACCAAAGCAAAGAACCAGAAACCCAGAAAGACAAGAACCAAAACCAGTGATAACCCTACCATACATCAGAGGCATAACAGAAAAAATAAGAGCAACAATGAAAAACACAACATAAACACACCAACAAAACCATACACAACAGTTAGAAACAGACTAGTACACCCAAAAGATGATATCAGCTGGACTTAAATGTGGAGTCGTTTATGAAATCCCATGCAAACTCTGCAATAAAACATACATAGGAGAAACCGGACGCCAACCTAACACACGGACAATAGAACACAGAAAGGAGTGTGAGAAAGAAACAAGTCAAAGACACACAAGAGCAGCAAAAGAAGCAGAAAGTACAATAAAAAAGTCAGTCGTAACAGATCACTGCACAAGAGAAAACCATATAATGGACTGGGACAACACACGGATCATAACCACCGAACAACAGAAACACAAAAGATGGATAAAAGAAGCTATAGAGATGAGGAGACGTGGATGTGGGACCATGAACAGACACGATGGAGTTTACATGTTGGATCACGCATGGGACTGCATCGTCGGAGAGGGGAGAGCGGGCAGCAGAGGGCGACAACGTCCTCTGCTGCCCGCAGATAAACGGAGAAGGAAGTGACGCCACCATCAGCGTCAGCTCTGAGGAAGTTTTGCAGTCGGCAGACGAAACGTCAGTGAGCTAAAGAAAAACCTTATCTGTGTTTTAAAAAAGAACCAAAACTGGAATTAGTAATATCAGATATTAAAATAGCTAAAATGTGCAGATAATTGGCTCAAATCTAATCTGCTCTAATATTAGGATAATAACCAATTCCTTTTAGGGGTGAAGATGTATTTACTGAAGTCAGTCATGTCATTTCCTTATTTACTTCATCAAAACTGATCGTTTAACCCAGCACACAGATTGATTTAGAGGATTTTCTACATCTTCTACAGTCAGCTGAAGGTCTTTCCTGGTCCTGAGGTCACCTACAGCGACTTCCTGGATGCCATCGACCGCCGAGAGGACACCTTCTACGTCGTCTCCTTCAGGCGGGTACGAAAACACGACGATTTTAGATCAGATTCAGCCACAAAGTGATGCTAATGTTTTAAACTCGGGCAGAATTATGAACGTGTTTGTTTTCCTAGGACCACCTGCTGCTTCCTGCTATCAGCCACAACAAAACCAGCCGGCCCAAGATGTCTCTGGTGATGCCTGCCATGGCCGTTAACGGTGAGTCCACGAGGAAAGTCCATTATTTTGAAAAGAAGAGAAATGGCGACTAGTAGTTTAACGTTGTTCCTCTTCCTCCTCAGAGAGTCTGTACAACTCGTCTCAGGGCTATGAGATAATGATGCAGGTCGACTGCGAGGTCATGGACACCCGAATCGTCGCCATCAAGTCGTCCGCCGTCCCTCCATCTCTACGTGACCCGACTCCTCCTCCCCCCTCCTCCCAGCACAACGCCCACCATCACCACATCAACAACACCTCCCTCCGAGGACGCCACCAGCAACACCACTCCTCCTCACCGGCCTCCTCGTCATCACCATCCCCTCGACGGCAGCCATTACCCGCCCCGGAGTACCTGATCAGTCAGGCTCAAGATGTCTGAAGAGGCGGTGATGGTTGAAGGTTGCACTAAAAATCAAAAAGTAACAAGAAGTTATTTTATTTTATTCAGACGTAGAAGCAGTTACAGATGATGAGATTCAGAGAAAAAGCTGCTTTTATTCATCATTTATTATTTAATACTTGTAAATAGCAGTGTAGATATTTGGTTTGTCATATTTTTCATATTTATATTTCTTTTCACAACAAAAAGTTACAAAAATTAAAAACAAATTGTAATTTTTTTTGTTTTATGTAAAAAATGTTAAAATATTTTATGTTTTTGTTGCGTGGACCAGCCAGCTTCTCACACCTGTTCTGCTGAAGTCAGATGTATATTCTGTATGATTGTACATAATTAATATCTATGAAACTTTACGGTATGAGAACTTGTTTGTTTGATTTTAGAAAAACGCGATTATCACCTGAAAAATGAAGTTTCCTCAATCCAAAACTGTTTTTTTTTTTCAGCATTTGGTGTAAAAAATTTTTAAGAGCTAAAATAAAATTGTTTTGATAATCAGACATAAATCCACCTCACAAAATGATTCTGCATCATAACAAATAATGAATTTAGTCATTTCCTTGTTTCGGATGTAAATATTTCTGTATATCGGCTCTACGTGGCAGACGTGACTCCAGAGCTGACAGGGATGCCGGAGTATGCCTGTTTTCGGACATGAGGGAAGCTCGTAGTGCAGCTTTGAATTTGCGCTTGACGAAATGAAACGTTGATGAAAATGTTGCATTTCCTCAAATGTAAAATAGATTTTTTTTAAAGTTTGCTTCATTGCTAAAGTCTGGTCAGAGTGAAAAAGAAGAAATTTTGTTTTATATACAGTTGAATTTTGTTACTTTTTTTGTACAAAAATGCCAAGATGAGAAACAAAACCGATGTAAATGTTTTATGTTCATCATTTTTATTATTGAGTGTAAATGAACAGTAAAATTTGTCTGGAGTCAAACTGTTGTTGGTGAGTCTATAATTAAATATACCGTAAATCCTCTAATATTAGCCAGTATTCAATTAACTGACGGGTATCATATGTTGGCCGGTGTCGGAGACGGCGGAGGTGAATAATGGCCGGTTTTTTATTGTGGCCGGGTGGAATGTGGTAACAAGCAAGTATGGGGGGGTGGTTGTGTCATCCGTCTCACTTTTGATTTGCCAGTGATAGACCGCGAGGGTAACTTAAACCTTGCGGAGACGAAGAGGAGACGAAAATTTGATATCAAGTTCAAAGAGAACGTGCTGATTATACTGCAGAATACTCTGGGGAGCAGTAGCAGGGGTTGTATGAACTAGTCACTAGTCGACTTCACCGCTCTATAGTGACTTTTTATGCCTGTCATCGACTAGTCGCTGTCACGTGATAATGACCGGCAAGATGCAGTCCTCGGAAAAGACAGCAGCCTGCTGTCAGCAGGTGACAAGCTCCTGCGCGTCTGGAGGCAACGCGCTGTGCCAGAGCGTCTGTACTGACACCCGCCGTAAAAACGGACATTTAACCAAATTGTGACGTTTACCCTCTTGCAATTTAACCTTCCCCTCACCCCCATCCTAACCTTAACCAGCTTGCGCATGCAAAGCTCTGATTGTTGACGCGCTCCAGACATCTGCGTCCTGAGCACGGCCACAGTAACATTATCAAATCAGGTGTCGCCACCTCAAAAACTAATTTAACACGCGATCGTTCATGTCGGCTCATTTCCTTTTATGTTTTCTGTCTTTTATTTTTTTATTTGTGCCTGATGCGTTTCGCTGCTGTGGAGCGGGGTGCATCACCCGTTTTGTCCTCCGTGACGCACCGATCACTGATGTGGCCGGCGAGCACTCCGCTGTTTTTGCGGTCGGTAGATCTTTTAGAGCTGCAGTTCAAAGGTAATTCATGAGGTGAATATATATGAACCCAGGTAGCAGTTTCTCTTTAGGATTGAGAGGAGATGCAGGAAGATAATAAACAGGCAGGACAGAAAAATAGTCAAATAAAAACAAGTTAGTTTTTGTACCTGCTGGTTGCAACAAACAGACACCATTGAAGGTAATCAGAAGTGAGGAACAGAAAATGAAATAATTATTTTAATGTTTAGAGCAGCAGGAACTCCGAGAGGCTGCAGGCGCATCAGTGAGTTTGCGGCCGCTGTGCAGGGGGACGGGGGAGAGGGCTGAAGCAGAAACTACCGTTGTTAAAATAAATGTGTTTAACTTTGAAAATGTGGGCGCAATTTTAATTGTCAAAAACTCCAGCGAACCATTAGTTCATTTTGCTCAAATAGAAATAGAGGCCTGCCTCTAATTCTGGTCCTCCTTCCAATAAAAGCCTGGAGCTTGATGGGCTTGAGTCAAATACAGGCCCGGTCCTGTATTAGAGGATTTACGGTAACTATTAATTGTACTTGATTGATAAATAGGTCAGATTAGTTGAAAAGTTTGACTCAAAAATTAAATAATGACACATTTGAGTTTGGGAAAACATTTTTTTTTTCATATTAAGTCTGATTCCAGATTAGTTGATCATTTTGAACATTCGGGTTTACAGTGCACTGTAGATTTTCCAAGAAAACAGTTTTTATTTTTAGGAAAGAAAATTAAGAAATGCTCAGTTGATGTTCAGATTTCTCTAGAAGAAAGCCAGTCGAGCTCTGGAAGTTGTTACAGAGGACCTACGACTTGAACAATCAGTGATCATGTCATTATTGCTAGTTCACTAAGTTAGTCTCATTGATTAATATGAAGCTTTAGGATGATTATTCTCTTTCCAAGTTAAACAGTACAGAGACCAAGGGGCAAACCATGCCTGCCTAAAGTGAAGTCAACATGGGTGACAAAAGTCGCAGTTCTGCGCTCATCCACTGGGGGATGGTTCCAGAATGGAGCAAGTCCCCATTGACTCTCATGTTTCCAACCTGATTCAGAAAAAATACATTTTAGGTTTCAATTGATCAAGTTTACAGTTATGAAAACTCTGAGGGGGTGAATTGTAATGATGTAGATGTAATTAATGCTCAAAAGCGTGCTCCCTGGTTTCTCCAGAGAAAGCCTCTGTCTTTGTTCTAGCTGAAGGTGAACGCAGCCTTGCAAGGTCGATGTCAGCAGATTGACGCCAATTATAGATGTTTTGCAGAAGTATGACTGAACGGAGTTGAAACAAAACAATCAGAGCAGATGAACCATGAGTGATGTTGCCAGAGGTGTGACCAAGTCACTGCTTTGCAAGTCACAGGTAAGTTACAAGTCTTTCCAGTCAAGTCTCGAGTCAAGTCCAAGTCGAGTCCAAAGTCAGTGATGTGAAAGTCCAAGTTAAGTCCACGTCCTTAACTTTGAATTTTCAACTCATAATCAGGTCATCTGTCCAACATCAATTTAATGACAATGATAAATAAACTGCAGAAATAAAGCTTCTTAAAGCTTCATTTATTTGCTCAAACAAGCAGGAAGTGCAACTGAAACTGATTATAAACCAAGTGCTGCTGCATTTAGCAGTAAATCAAACCCAGAACGAAGAACGATTTATGATTTTTGTCCATGTCGGGCCACTTATGTGCTAAAATATCAAACATGCTCAAGTCAATTGATGCAAGTCGATTCAAGTCGCAAGTCATTGGTGTTCAAGTCTGAGTCAAGTCGTGAGTCTTTATAGATTTGATCAAGTCAAGTCAGAAGTCATTAAAATAATGACTCAAGTCTGATTCGAGTCCAAGTCACGTGACTCGAGTCCACACCTCTGGATGCTGCTATGCAAGCAGCATGGTAATGCTCGAGTGACTGCATCATTTTAGTGGAGTAATATATCCTAGCAATATAGACCTTCAGATTCCCAAAGCAAAAGGGTGGTCTAGCAATGCTCCACTGGAATCTCCTCCACAGCCCCGCCCATTTGGTGCCTGGCCAATCACAGCTCTATCAGTTTGGTTTGCATCTTCTATGACATCAGGTAAACTGCCCATTCACTGACATCCGTAGCGGTCCAATCACAGCGCTCTATTGGTTTTCTACAGGTCTGTAGAAGATTGTTGCTACAAAGGCTTTAAAAATGAAATTTGATCTTCTCCCATTTTACTCTTTACATTTCCGCTGCTAGGTTTAGTGGAACCAGTTGACATCTTTGCAAAGTAAAGTCAAAATTTCATTTGTGGCTTTGTTTGGTTTTCAATCACCTCAGACCATTTCTCCTGTGAACATTACAACTCTCTAAATAATATCTAAACTCCAACTTAATTAAACCTATTAAAGGATATTTAAAACAGTGACTAATTATGAATATTATTTCTATTAAAGGCATTTATGACCTTTGCACATGAATAAGTTATACTTCCTGTTTTTCAAAAGGAACAGGAAGCTTTCAGTGTTTTACACAAAATCAGTGATTAATGAGAATAAATAGTAAAACTGGAAGCAGAAGTGAATCTTAAATGAAAACAACGTCACTGGAGTTTTAAAAACAGCTCCTAAGATGCCTACATTTATTTTAGTAACTAGCAGAAGCACGTACAGAATTAAAAAAGCCTTCCTGCTGTTGATCTGTGTCAACATTCTGCTGTAATCCTGATTCGATGGTGATTATTTATTTAGTTTTTTGTTAGGTACTGGCTAGTGTAGTTTGTTTTTACAGATATTGAAGGTTTCTTCCCACACACCAAACTCATGCATGCTAGGCTGATTGGTGTCACCACCAAATGGAAACAAACAATCACTTATGCACACACACACACTTTGCAGATGCTAGTTAACCTTAGCATGCTTGTTTTTGGTCTGTGAGATCAAACCGGAATGTCTGGAGTAAACGAACTCATGCATGAGGAGAACATGCAGCAGCTGGGATTTTAACCTGCAACCGTCTCTCTGCACAGCAACAGTGCTACCCTAACAAACATCCCATAAACCACAGGGAGGATTTTCATCAGATTTTTCGAAATTATTAATAAAAGTAGATGTAAAACTTCCTAAGTTTTGGAGTTGCTTAAAAATAACAAAAATGGTGAAAATCCTGTAAAGTTAACTGGTATCGCGCATAAATTTAGTAGCTTGTTAACCAAAAATCATCCTCAAGGAGTGCCTACAGACTCTTATTTAGAATATTTCTCCATAATAAATGTAATTTCATAATTTCTCAACATAGATGATCTCTAACACAAAAGAATGAGCAGACTGAATTGATTGACCTTTAATTTGTAGATTGAAGCAACTGGAAATTAACATTTATTTCTATGTAAGAAAGCCTCAGAAACCTGTTGGCAGTCCAGTAATAAAAGTCCAGTTTCTGGATGAAGCTGAACTGTAGCAGTCTCGTTTTTAGGAAGTAACAGTCTGACTCAAAACCACGAACAGAAGCTAATGTCAAAAAAAAAGGACAAAAAAACCTGAGCATGCTCATCCGAATTAGTTTCTGTTCTCGGATCAGATAGCGCTGTTGTCAGACACGGTTCAGGGTGTCAAGATGAGGTTGACCATCCTGTTGGTCTTTGTTCTGGGCTCTTGTGTCACTGCAGGTAAGATTGTTTTGTGTTTAAACGTGTGAAACGGGCGTTTCTGACACAATAGGGCTTTATTACACAAGTATATGGAGTAACAACCTCAGAAACTACAACGTTTTCTGCCATTTAATTGTTTAAATCATTTGTTCTGGGACAGTTGGTGTTATGACATGATGTAGTTTTAAAATAAGTGATCGGGTTCTTGTTATTCAAACATATTTTCACAAGTTGTTTTAGAATGATTTTTAATTTAGTTGTCTTCCTGCTGAAGTTCGATGTTTGTTGGGTAAGATTTGTTAGCTAAAATGTGTTCTACCAGGTTAAATCAAAGGGTTAAATGGGATTAAATTAGGGATGCACCGATGGATCGGCGTTTGATCCCAATCGGCCGATAGCGCCCCTATCGATTTTGATCGGAGTTTTCAAAATACATCAAAGCAGACCGATACAGACCATTTTAGATTAGGTTACATTTCCTTTATTCCCAGATTATGTAGTTTGTAGCACTCATTATAATGTTGTAGAAAATTTCTGGCCAATCCACGTGATCGGTATCGGTGATCGGTATCGGTGATCAGCATTCTTTGATATCGGTATCGGTGATCGTATGGGTGATCAGCATTCTTTGATATCGGTATCGGTGATCGGTATGGGTGATCAGCATTCTTTGATATTGGTATCGGTGATCGGCAGCAAAAAACCTGATCGGTGCATCCCTAGATTAAATGGAAACTATGGTTTTGTGTTCAAAGCCACACCTGTGATTTGTGTCAAAGATGGAAGTGACTCTATGACGATTGTAGGCTATTGTTTGTTTGTATTTCATTATTGTTGACCGCTTATGACGTTTAAAGTCAGAGTGAAGAAATTAAGTTTTAAAAGTTGTTTTTATTTCACAGATTTACCCCATGAAGCCGTTAAAGAGAAAAAGTCGACCACTTTATCTTGTGGTCGCCCTGGGGGGGACATCGTGACATGGAGCGTGGAGAGAAATGGGATTAAAGAATACATACTTACAAATGATGGCTCCAACACCATAAAACACATTAAAGACCCCAATAAACTTTATGATTCACAACATGATAAGTCACTATACATAATGAAAGTTGAAGTCTCAGACTCTGGAAGATACTTCTGTAACAATGAATCAGCTGTGGAGCTGACAGTGATCCCATCAGGTAACAAACTTTATAAAATAACATTTTATTTAATTAAAAAAAACATTTTATTCATCGCTAACTTGGATAACCTTTGCATCAGTCAGTTGTACATAATTATTTTTGAATTAGACATTTATTTTTAATCTGTGTCTCTTCACAGGAACAAGGACTCAGACCGTTAAAGAAGGAAAGGACACAACTTTAAAATGCTTGAATGCTTCTGAGGGATATAAACCGTCATGGAGCAGAGAAATCGCTGGAAGACCAGAACACATCAGGTCTGCTGTTCCTCCTGGGGGAGAAAAGTTGAAAATCACACAAGTTCAGCTCTCTGACTTTGGACTGTACTTCTGTAATGGAAAACCAGCCGTTTATCTGAAAGTGACCCAAAACAACAAACATCAAGGTGAGATATTTTTAGTTCCTGCACAAGTTTTTTTCTATGTTCTTTTCTTCATTGTGTTTTATTGTTGTTTTAATGTATTTTCCTGTCAAGTGACCCTGGGCTTCCTGAAAGGTGCTTTAAAATAAAATGTATTATTATCGTTATTATTATCATTATTATTGTTATTATTATTATTATTATTATTAAGTGAGGATTCATTTGATATTTTCCCCTCAAAGTGACAAATAAAGACACTAATTGTTCACATTTATGATTAAGTAGTCCTGTAGTAGAAAGGCCATCTTACCTATGATCACATTTAGATGATCTTGCAAAGAAATTGATCTGAAACAATATTTCATATATATTTCAGCTCCATAGATGGTCATGTAGAGACAACACCAGCTCTTTAATCCTAATGCAGAGACAGTTTGTAGTTACATATAGTAAGTAAGTAAGTAAGTAAAAGTTTATTTATATAGCGCCTTTCACAGATATAAATCACAAAGCGCTGTACAACATGATAAAGATCAGGGCAAATACCTGTAACCAATAAAAACATCCGAAAAACAATAGCAGTGATAAAATAGAAAATAAAATCATGAGTATAAACAAAGTGAAGGTGTGAACCCAAACAAAGACATCTTTTTGAAACATTTAGGGAGGGAACGCCTGGATGAAAAGGTGAGTTTTTAGATGATTTTTAAAGACCTCTACAGTGTTAGAAAGATGGAGATTTGAAGGTAGACTGTTCCAAAGTCTGGGGGCAACAGTCTGAAAGGCCCTATCCCCTTTGGTTTTCAGTCTGGTTCGAGGAACAGCCAGGAGGTTTTCAGATGTGGATCTAAGGTTCCGTGAAGTGGTGTGTGGGGATAAAAGCTCAGATAGGTAGCTTGGAGCCTGGTTGTTAAGAGCTCTATAGGTCAGGACTAAAACTTTAAACTGTATTCTATATTCTACCGGGAGCCAGTGGAGGGACTGTAAAACTGGGGTGATGTGAGCTTGTCTGCTGGATTTGGTTAGGAGTCTGGCTGCTGCATTTTGGATGGCTTGAAGGCGTGAGAGGGAGGTTCTGCTGAGACCAGTAAAAAGAGCGTTACAGTAGTCTAAGCGTGATGACACAAAGGCATTGATAATTTTTTCCAGATCTGCAGTAGAAACCAGTTTACGGACTTTTGAAATGTTTCTCAGTTGAAAGAAACGAGAGCGGGAGATGGTTTTGACGTGCGAGTCTAAACTTAAAGCTGGATCAAAAATAACTCCCAGGTTTCTAATGTTGGCCTTGGCTGATGGGCAAAAAGACGCAATTTCTTGCTCGATTTTTGGCTGAAGTTCCGGGGGTGCAGCGATCAGGGTCTCTGTCTTGTTAGCATTGAGGACAAGAAAGTTGCTGGACAGCCAGTTACTGATCTGGGTCAGGTAGAGTACAAGGGTGGCCAGCCTGGCCAACTGGTGTGGCATGAAGGACATATAGAGCTGTATATCGTCAGCGTAGATGTGGTAGGAGATGTCTGGGAAAGACTGAATGATGCCAGCTAGGGGAAGAATATAGAATGTGAATAGTAGAGGCCCTAGAACTGAACCTTGTGGGACCCCGCATGTTAGAGAGGCAGTGTCTGAAGAGAAGGTTTCTGACTTCACTGTGAATGTTCTGTTAGTGAGATAAGAAGAGAGCCAGTCTAGAGCAGAACCTGAAATCCCAGCCAGGGCCTTTAACCTGTTTAGTAGAAAATGTAGTAGAATATGTCTCCTGTGCTTTTGCATCAGTTTATGTTGTCGAGACTTTCTGTGGGTATTCTATTTCCTGCCTCATGCATCATGTGACTTTTACCGTAGTCATTATCACACCAACAAACAAGGTCACAGCATAGTCATCCACGCAAACACAGAGGAGGATAGAGACAAGATCAGTGAGCACAAAGTGGAAATGAACACTGATGCTAATCAACATAATCTACACAAGTAAAATAATAACGAGCTAATCCCAAGAGGATTTAAAAGGATTTTAGACCACTAAAAAACAAATATAAGAATGTTGGTTCTTCTTTCAGCAATGAATCAGCAGTTCTCATTTCTCCATCTTTTCCTTCAACATCTCTCTTCTTCCTTTGCTTTTGACCAAAAAATGATCTCAGCAGAACGTTTTGTTAAATACAGCTGCAGGACCTGCAAGTTTGGAAGTACAGCTTTATTATACTAAACAGAAAACTGATAAAGAAATAGGGAACTTGTCATGAATGCTGCATCTGACAGGGAAGCAGCAAGTTGGGTCGAGTAAAAATTACAGAAAATGTAGAATTTTGATTGCTTCAAGTGCTTTCTCATTTGTCGTTCGCATTTCAGGGAAAATCTGTCAGATTGACTGAGTTATGGACATTTTCCCTCTTTTGAAAGTCAATCAAGCTTTAATTGAAACATTTAGCCAAAAGTCTCCCAACGTTTATGATGGTGTTTTAGGCAATATTGTTGTAAATCTTTGCTATTATCTACCAAGATCGGTGGCCATCTTGAATTGGGTTGATTTTAAATGTTAGCCGCTTGTATTTGTTATGACGAATACTTTACCTTTGTCTTGGCAGATAATTATCCAGTTTATTTTTTGAAAGCTTTGAAAGCATTTTGAAGGGTTATTTGATTTTTTCCCCCACTTTTTTTGTCTTTCCTACTCAGGAGGAAAGAGGACAACAACAAGTACAACACCAGCCACAACAGAAAGATCCACAACATATTTAACAAGTGCAAGTACTGCTGGAACAACATCAACGGGTGATATAAACATGTGGTGCCTGGTGACTTTATAGGGAAGAGTCAAACCTAATGATGCTGCCAGTTGTAGATGGTTGCTGAGCTCTCGTTTTACAATCAGTGTTGTTCTGACGTCTGTTCCCTCTTTGAGGCTCACACCCATGGGCTCGTCACTAAAAGCAGGAAACACAAACCTCTGACAAACCTGCAGCACACACCAATGCAACATAACATTAGCTGACCACAGACAGAACACAGAGTGATGATCTCCTCCCTTTTCACAGTTTTAGAACGTTAGCACTAAATATTTCATCACATTTCCTTGATGGAAACATGAAAATGAGTTGATAGAAACTTTGATATAAAGAACAGCCAATCACATTAGCCGTTGCTCCACGCTGGACCAATCAGTGGCTAGAATAGAGTCACTATACACACACACACACACACACACACACACACACACACACACACACACACACATATATATATATATATATATGTCACTATACACACACACACACACACACACACACACACACACACGCACACACACACACACACACAGACACACACACACACACACACATATATATATATATATATATATATATATATATATATATATATATATATATATATATATATATATATAAGGATGCACTAACGGCTAATGTTTATGCATTTGAAAATACTTCTGAAGAAACAAAATTACCTTCTGATAGCTTCAAATCTCACTTTAAAGTACCAGAGAGCTGTAATAATTAACAAAACAGTGATTTGCTTTATACCGTGATATTGTTTTATGTGAAAAATATAGTGATGGGATTTTGTTCCATGCTGACCAGCCCTAACATAAACCGAACATTTTACTTTAACACATTTTTTCTTTCCTATACAGCAAAAACAACAATGAAAACAGAAAAAACAGCAACAACAAAACCAACACCACTTATGACACAACCGTCTTCTACTGTGACTGCTACCACTACGGCTGCGTCTTCTACTTCTAAAGGTGACATCAGATATATAATTATTGTATTTCAATGTAAGTTGTTCCAAAACTTTTATGTTTTGACTGGTTTGTATTTTCTAAACATGTTATGATGTCATCAAATTTTTTTCCCCCTGTGGAAAAAGCTCTGTATTTCAGTCTGGCGGCAGGAATCTGTGGTTTCATCTTCCTGATTATCATCATCGTCTTTGTCACCTGGAGATGCAGATTAAAGAAACATGGTAATTCAAGTCAAAATCAAATGTCTGGTCACACTCGTCACATTGACCAATATCAGCTAGATGTTTAATTTTAAGTGTAAAACAAACAGATGTGGACACAATTGTGTTATTAAACCTGGGACTGCATTTCATAAACATTTTCATAAACATAAACATTTCCTATTGCGCCTACATCCTTGGAAGCTGAATGCAGTTTTATTAAATTTGAGGTTCTGTTCTTTTTGAGTTCCATACACATTACCCACATTACATGTGGGCTGAACATGAAAATAGTCTTCTTCCTTTTTTTCCTGCAATAGCCGCCAAAAAAAAAAACGGATGATGTGTCAGAAAAAGCCACACAGATCTACGTCACACTGAAAATTAGCATTCATGGACTCACCCATCTTGGCCCTGCAGATTTAGTGTTTATGAGAGAAAAGAGTATCTCGGCAAGTAGAAACTAACTGTTAGCATTAGCAACTCCGCAGCATGGCAGAACTCCTCCAGGCTTGTCTTATTTGTGGAGATAAATCATCAGTGTTGCACAGCAAACAGAGTCAGTGTTAGATTTGCATTGCTGCTAGCCAATCAGAGGTGAGATGTCAGAATTTCATGGATATTAAGGAGTTTTCTACCTTCCACTGCTTCAGCTAACTACTACCTCCTAAAAAGGAGCGTTTTTGTGGCACAGGAGTTGGGCACTAATCAATCAATCAATCAATACTTGATTAATCCCGGAAGGAAATTAGAGTTTCAGTACACACAATTCAGAGATCAGACATACATGGGCAAGACACATGACAAGAATTGGTGACTGTGGTCATTCGCAACCCGAGTCGCGCTACCTTAAAAGAGATAAGAGGGTTACATGAGGATTGGTTCAGGTGGAGGGAAAAAAAGGCACTTCAGAGTTACCCTCCACTGGGAGGGCAGCTTTGCTCTGCAAAAAAACACCTCAGAATAATTTCTTCTGCAACAGGGATCACTCAGATGTTGGCTCATCCTTCCAGCAACGCCAAATTGTAGCACTAGAAGTGAAGAGTAATTCACGGTGCTAACTTACGGCTAAACTCAACACTACTAATTGTGAATTACAAACTGTGAGAGTAAAATAACCTTTGTTTCGTTTTAACCATCAAATAAAAAGCAACAATGCCACCTTGTTTCCCAAGGACAAATAAAACAAATAGGTACACTCATAAATTAACACGTACCGTGTCTGAATGAATGGCCACACAGAACGGATAAGAGCCGTGTTTCCAACAGGATGAGCCAACACCCGAGCGACCCCTGAAGCAGGAGTAATTAGTGCCTGACTCCTAAGCCACAAAGAAGTTGTGACGCGCTCCTGTTTAGGAAGTGGTAGTTATGAAGGAGTGGAAGGCAGAAAACGGCAAGATTTGGAGTATTACTCCTTAATATCCATGAAATTCTGACCGCTGAGATTAGCCCAGGGTTCGAATTGCAGCAGAGCCAAGGGAGGATGGAATCCCCAGGAAGCCCTCAAAATACACACACAGGAGGAGCTTGATAACGATCCAGTCTAAACCTATATTACATTATTTATATGGAATCTCTGCATACTGGAACTTTTGAGTGGCGAGAATGGAGAACGCTAATTGTTGATATAGGCATCTTCGTCATGCGCATGGCCACAGTAATATTCTCAAAGTGGCTCCACGCAAAAGGTGTAATTGACACACGATTGTTCGTGTCTGCTGATTATCTCTGGTACTTTCCGTCTTTTATTAGAGCCTGACGCGCTCTTGTGCCGTGGTGACGTCATCTCGCTGGCATGACCGCGCAGTCGGAAGATCCCTTTGAGCTGCTTAGTTCAAAAAACAGCTCATGAGGTGAAAAAGTAGGTAAGCCGTTTTCTAGAGGATTGAAAGGAGATGCAGCAAGATAAGAGCCAGACAGGACAAGGAAACAAAAAGATATAGGTAGAGAGATTTTTCACCACTACATTTTGTAATATTTATATATTTGATACAACTTTGATCACCTTAAAAACTCAGTCCCATACCCAGAGCTGTTTCAAGGCATTTGGGGGCCAAGACAAAATAGACTTGGAGCCCTTTATTAATATCTAATAAACACAGATTTTCTGGGTGGCCAGGTCAAAACATTCATCCCCCCATTTCACAG